CGCGGGGCGGTGCCAGAGGCCGAGTGGCGGCAGCACCGGGTTCTAGTGACAGTCCGCGAAGCAACCGGGCGAGGCAGGGTAATGTGCCAGGTCCACCAGGGAACCCCAGCATCGCCCCAGGCGCGGTGTTGGGAAACCGGCCCGCCTAGTTCAGGGGAGCAATAAAGGCCCCAGCCTATGCCTAAATAGAGCCCGGGGCAGAGGTCGTGGGTGGAGGCTCCAGGTGAAAATGGTAGGGACAAGTGAGGTCTATTTGTGTCCTCAGGGCCCTGATAGCGATCTCTGGGCCTGCCGCTTCAGGAGCCGGTGTGAACGCGAGAGGTTTTGCGTCCGCGGCTTTTCCCACAGAGCAGCGTGAGGTGCCCCGGCTCCCTCCTGCCGTGCCGGCCGTGTGGTGGGGGGCTGCTGCTCGAGGGGCGCCGTCCTAGCGAGGGGTCCGCTGCCGCCTCTGGGCCGGGGCTGCGCCGGGCGGGTTCGGTCCCGTTGACAGCAAACGACGGGTGTTGCAGCACTGCAGAAATCGGGTTGCAGGTGTGCTGCGTGCTCACTGGCGCTGGGCTAGTAAAACCTTACGTGTGTTCAGGGATTTGCGTCTTTCCTAACTGTATAGAGTGATTGCTTCAGACCCTGGTCTTGGGTACGTACCCTAAAGACAGCTTTGTTAGTTCAAACTAAAACCTATCCATAATCGTTTGCAGAACTTCTTCCCTATTCTTCAAGTATCTGTATAGAAGTTTTCTGTTGTGTTTTTGTTTTTTTTTTTTTTTTTGCTGTCATGTTGACCCAGAGTTGACAGCATATTTCTGAGTAGTTTCTGAATTACATGTGCCTAAACGGTACGGATGGTTTTGAGCATTTTTTTCTTCAGTGCTTGGTATAACTTATCTAGCACTGGAACTTCTGAGAACTGAACCACTATTGAATTTAAATAGGCTTACTCTTTTTATTAACTTGGCAATTAATAGAAGAATGTCATATTCAGTATTTGGTGGCTGGGGCAACAATTCTTAAAACCCCTAGTTTAATTCTGACGTTGATGGCTAATGTCTGTCTGTCTGTTGTTAGTAGGTGTGAATGGAATCTCAGTATCTGAAGAGATGCCTGGGAAGTTGCTTGAAAAAGGGACTGGCAGAAGTTGTAGAGTATCGGCCAGCAGATCCAATAGAGTATCTGGCACATTGGATTTACAATTACAGAAGAATCTTAGATGAAGAAAAAAAGGTGGATCCATGTTGGGCAAAAAATTTCGTGACGATATAATTGATGCTATTTAATCTCTATTTTTTTTAATTGAATCTGTGTTACCTCAAATAGAGAATGTTGGAGAGGACTGAGCTGGAACAAGAACGTGAGGCAGCCCTGGTAGAACTTGAAAAGTTAAGAAAAATTAAGGAAGAAGAGCTAATGATCCAGCAGAAACTTGAAGAACAACATCAGGTTAATAATACTTAATTATAAATGGTATATGATGCTGTGGCATCTTGTAGCTCTCTGTATACTTCTAATCTCTGTATAATGATTTTGATAGAAGGTAGCATAAAACAAATATTTTAATCTCAGTTTTCTAAATAATAACTGAAATGATTAGTCAGCACATGGAAAGGAAAACTTACATACTATGTGGTCAAATGCTATTAAAAAAAGAAGGAGCCTAAGTTAAAAGCAACCAATTCAAGACTTACATGGAAGTAGCTTAAAATAAGTAGCCTGTATTTGTAGTTAATTATGAACAAGAGCTGGTGCAAATAAAGCTAGAAATCATTGCAAAAATTTTTGGGAGGCCTGGGAGTAGTAGCCAATCATAACAGTAACGTAAAAAAAAGTAATGAGAACATATACGCAATTATAGAGTCCTGAAAATGGTTGGGAATCAAGGAATGAAGATTGCATATTTAAGCAACATGTATAGCTTGATTCAATGAGGTGCCTTTTTCTTTCCTTAGCTACCTGAAGATTCTGTTGGCATAAAGCAATTTGAATCCTATGCTTTGTGGACTTGAAATACGAGAAAAAAAGATAACATCTGTGTTTCTAGCTATGCTTTGTAAAGGAGTCATGTGAATTTGACCACATGTTTAACAGTCTTAGTGTTGTGTGGTAATGTTGACATTATCTGACTGGGTTTTTTTACATGGCTGACTTTCATGATGTTAAAATCAAAAGCATAATTTTGTATCTGTGCTGGTCTAATGAAGCCCAGTTCTAGTGTAGGATGCATTCATTCTGTTTCACTTGGTCAGCGAGGGTCAGCTGTCCTGGCTGTGTCCCCTCTCAACTCCTTGTGCACCTCCAGCCTCCTCGCTGGTGGGGCCATGTGAGGAGCAGAAAAGGCCATGACTGTGGGTAAGCCTGCTGAGCAGTAACCAAAACATCCCTGTGTTATCAGCACTGTTTGCAGCACAAATCAAAAACACAGCCCCATACTAGCTACTGGGAAGACAATTAACTCTTCCAGCCAAACCAGCACATAACCGCTCACAGAGTGCTACAGGAAACAATATTCTCTAGGCCCTAGTGCAACAACACATTCAACAAAATGTGAACACTTGGATTATGCATTTTCTGAAGCTTTGATGCAATAGGACTTAGGGTCACAAAGAATAAACGCTTTGTATTAGGTATTTCCTATTGGAAATATTAGAGGTTGCTTATGAAGATGATTAAAGTCAGTGACATTGCTTACCAACCTTTTCTATAGATCTGATTCTATATGGATTCATCTGTCTATACAGCTCTCTTTGATACTATACCAAGTATCAAACTTAATCCAAGGTATAGGAGGTAGTGAATATAGCTTGATAAAGAGTACACGGAATGAGACAGTACCTTAAGTGTGCACACTAACGTCTGTTGTCTATTTCTTCTTCCTCTTGGTAGCAAAGCCTTTCTATTCATGAAGTCTAATACCTATGAAAATGTTGAGTCAGATCATACTGAAAATGCTTGATGTTGTTAGCATTGCATTTATGTTTTGTGCTTCCTTTTTATTTTATTTAATATTTCAATCGTGAAATACATTGTAAGCAAAGAGGTGGGGAAGATGAATGTGGGGTTTTTTTCCTTCTAATTTGTCCTTTCTTAAACTGACTACAGGGTCAGTTGGAACAAGAACGTAGGGAATTGGAACTGCAGAATGAAGACGATGAAATGCTGTTGCAGCGGCAAGATCAAGAGGTTTAAGCCAAAGCTTAGACAGTGGTTTGAAAATACTGTTAATCAGCTGTCTTTTCCAGATGCAGGCACTAAATATGAAACACAAGGCAGAAGCCCATGGATGTTGAAGTAATGCATAATTCTTTTTTTAAAAAGTGAAAATGGGGCAAGAATGTCTAGCACCTTGCTTCCAGTCTGGGTTTTTTATTTGAGTTTTGGTCTGTTCTATTAGGTTTATTTAGTTTATATTCAGAACAGAGTGTAAATTTATTGCAAAATTTAGCATAAGGTCAGCTTAGTTGATGCTTTCACATTCCTTGATGATATTTATGAGAAAGTAGTTGTCTTGGTTTGAAAGACAGGTGTTTGCGG